ATAATTATATTAAAAAAAGATTTTTTTTCCACCTGAGAAAAGCCTTTTTTTAAGTTCTGTTTGACAAGTACCGTATTTTTCGGAATATAAGACGCACCCTTATTTTGAAGACAGTTTTTTGAAGAAAAAAAAGCTACAGTCGCATTTGAAAGATTTTTTATTGAACAAAACTTCAATTTGTTACTTTAAAAATTAGTATATATTGTTCTAAATACTGCAATTGTTTTTTTTTATTATTTAGGGAGCATTATAAATAGTTATGTTATGGAAAGAAAAAACTACTATTGCTATAAATAACATTCAATTTAACTAAATTATGCACGCCTATTTAAATATATTTACACACACACACACACATATATATATACACTATTCACACCTTCGGTGTATAGGACACAAGCAGATTTTGACACCAAATTTTGCGGTATAAAAGTGCGTCTTATACACCGAAAAATACGGTATATTCAAAAATTCATTATATCACTATTTAAATCCCCTTTGTTAGTTGTTCTCCGTAGTTTTGTCCGATTCTCATGGACTTCCCTTCCTTTTACTCAGATAATTTTGAAATTCGCATCTCCATTTGTTTTTTTTTTTTTTTCGCTTTGTAAAATATTTGAATGTTTTAATTCTTTATTTAAGAAAATTCACCTTATTTGAATTTTAAATATATTTCAGTACTTTTATATAAAATTTACCATTACAGGTTTCACTTTTCTTTTTATGCTAGCAGTTCGTAGTCTACGTACAGCTTGTACAATTTTTTTTTTTTTTGTCTGTTGTTTTTTTCTTCATTGTATTATTGTGATCAGACAAGTTCCATAACACGAACAAAACATAGGGGTCAACAATGGATCATTTGGCCCTAAACTAAACCTACCCTTGAACACAGCAAAAACTTAAACCCATCCTGTCATTAAAGAAATCTTCGATTCCCCTCAAACTCCCGTAAAGTACCAGCCTCCATTACTACGGACAGAGAATTTTTCATAAGCCAATCACCCTGTTAGAGTAATTTCATCTACATTAATATAGCTATCTGAAACTGGAAATCACAAGTTCGAAATAGCCTCAGATAAAAAAACAAACGCTACATTAAAAAGCTACATTCAATTGCTCTGCAAACTTTTATCGTCTAGCCTTTCTTCCCGCATAAAACACGTGTAAAGAAAAGACACCCCTACTATACCAGACTGACCTTGATACGTGCATAAATCTTTTAGTGTGACTGAACTTTGGAATGTACAGGGAGCTATTGAAGCATATACACGCGAGATAAGAGACTGACTTCAACCAAATCATGCAGTTTCTCTTCTGTAAAAAAAGGAAAACAAGATCTAGTGGATACACAATTACTCATGTTAGGTTTCACAACTAGCTTTCTTTCGAACACTTGTATCAATTTTTGTATGCGATAGATAGACTAAAGATTTACTTATATTACAATTTTAAACAGCACGTCTAGTCCAAGCAATTCTTCGTGAAATATTAATAAGGGGGGGGGGGGAGAGAAAAGAACATGTATACGCAAAAAATTGGAGTCGCTAGATTTTTTGGTCTGAGGGTACAAACTTAAGTTTATGCAATATTTCTTAACACATTATCATTTCGGAAGTACAGATTAAAGATTTTCTACGAAGGTCACGTGACCCTCTTAAGCGAGTGATGCCACAACCAGCAAACAATTTCATAAATCAGAAATTCGGGGTACTAAACCCGAAGTATGGAATATCACATAATAGTTCAAAACAGAATTAGTATTACAATTTAATACATTGTTCATGTATCTTTCCACACTATGCAGCTTGATGTTCTTTAGAGTTTAACTCTGGTACCATTTTCATGGTGAATACTGAATTGCTTAGATCAATTTCAATCCCTTTTCAAGGACTTTGTGATCACTGTCAGAATGTTTTTTCATGCACTTTTGTGGAAGTTAACCTCATCAGATTCCACCGAAATCTTATAAAATTCCTATTTATTTGTTAGGCTAAAAAGAAAAGGAAGACTTTTGCGCTCAACTCTGCAACATGCATTCAGTTAGATACATATCTTAAATATATAGATATATTCTGCTATTACAATATTTTCAAGTACTTTTGCAAAAAAATAAAATAAAAATTAAGCCCTTAAACCATTCTCAATACGTATGCGCCATGGATTTTACGGGAATCTTTACAATTTCCCCCCCTCAAAAATCCATATAGTTTAGCAAAAATCCTACACATTTTTGGTGCTGGACGAAAATCATTCATCTTTATGTACTCACCCGAATAAAGGCATACGTTGGTTTATCATTTTAGGAAACACACGATGGCGTTACTATAAAGGGACTATCACCATGTATTAAAAAAGAAAAAAAAAAGTGTAGCTATTCCTTTAAGTCGCACGCTCACTCCTTTTTTCGGCCGCACCTTTTTTTTTCACACCTACGGTGTTTTTGATTATATTTATATAAAGAAGTAACTTCTGTACGTATAATAAGTTAAAACAATAGCTCAGTATCTAATCATTATTACTATATAAATTCAATGATAACATTAAATCCTTTAGTAAAATTAAAAGAAAGACGTATGATAAAATGTTCACTATACATGATTTGAAATAAATTTCATGCTTAACATCCCTATAATCTACATTAGTATTTTTTAATATCCCTAGTATAAACTCCTGGCAGTTTTCTATAGATTAGAAAAAAAAAGATTACTCTATAAATACCCGCGTATTAAATTGTGGTTAGTCTATTTAAAGCTCATTTTTATACGTTTTCTCCAGGAATTATTATTTTGATTGAAACTGAAATTTGAAAATACGAGTATATTATTTTTTTTAGGGGAACTCTTTGATAAATGAATGTAATTAACTGCCACACATTACCTTTGCTCCAATTTGATTTCCACATTGGCCAGCCTGAACATGAACAATCTCCCTCATTTTACTTGTCCAACCTTCTACGAATGACTTTCTTTCTAAAAATGACACAACTTTCCTTTGTTATTTCTTAAAGCACACAGTCCTCGATATTGCGCATGCGCTTTCAGACTATTCGATCTTTAGTCAATAGCAGCACTGAATTTGTTTCGGAAATAAGGGTTACAGTCAGGGCATTGGAAGAGATTTTTCCCCTTTTCTTGTATTATGAGTTGCGCACGACGATGATTTGGTTAGAGGAGGGAACTAAGGAGGCGCTCGAAAATCTTATTATTTACTTTTACGTTGAAATTAATCGTTCGAAAACACTGTCACCCTCACGTAAACCCTAAACAACAACAACATTTTCTAAGCTGCGATGTTAACATGGCAAATGTTCCAATTATTGAAAATTTTATTTTTTGCACTTTCCTGTTTTGAGGATTAATTTTCATCAGTGCTCAATCACTCATAAATGTCTGTGTTTTGTGATCATCTTGTGAAAATAAAATGATTGATAAACTGCTTTTACACTTTTTATCAAATATAGATGTCAGACAAATTTGTATCTAAATACTAAGTCTAAACTAACACGGACGTTAAGGGGATGTCGGCTTGAAAATAATGCAGTTAAATGGCAGATTTCGTTATCCACGTGAAATAAGACCAGAATTTAAACATATTGTTAAGTATCTGGTCGTTTGTTAATTTCCGGTATAAATTCTTTCCGAGGGCCTTCAGTGATACAAGTCCTTTCTTAATTAAAACTAGTTTATTCTTTCTTGATACAACTTTGTAATATACAGAATTTCTAC